ATGAGCAAGCAAAGCATAAGCAAGCAAAGCAATAAGCAAGCAAATCAGGCGAAGCAAGCAATTCATGAGCAAAGCAAAGCAAGCAAAGCATGAGCAAGCAAAGCAAGCAAAGCAAGCAAAGCAGGAGCAAGCAAAGCAGGAGCAAGCAAAGCATGAGCAAGCAAGCAAAGCAAGCAAACCATAAGCAAGCAAAGCAAGCAATTCGTGAGCAAGCAAAGCAAGCAAAGCATGAGCAAGCAAAGCAAGCAGTTCATGAGCAAGCAAACCAAGCAAAGCCTGAGCAAGCAAAGCAAGAAAACAAACTAACAAACACAAGCACATACACACTCACACACACACCAAGACATGGACAAGCACGTGCACGCTCTGCTGATCCCAAGCGGTGCTATGCAGTTGCAAAAGCAGTACGACCCGCGCCTTCACAAAGTCACCTGCCTTGAAGAGCGCATTGCCCTCCTCCTGCCACATGGCCATGGGCTTTTCAAAAGCCCGGTTCTCCCCCAGTGAACGGGACCCAATCCAACCACTAAAATAGGTGGTGAATTCACCTAGCCCAAAATGGGATCCCATTGGTTTGACAACCACGGCCACATTCCATCACTGAATACTTGGTTTTATACTCGAGTCAATGGTCGCTTGCTGTTGTGAGTCCTTCTTCTTCGCGAAGCCGTCTGAGGATGCCGCCTTCTTGGCAACGTTTTGAGTGAAGACTGGTACAGGCCGACCCTTCTCCGCTGCTTCCAGAATGGCATCAACTTCACCTCGAAAAGTGTCTCAAGACTCCAACCCCATGCCACACTTGTCACGGTTTGGGTGTCCAAACCCTCTGGGGTGGCTGCCCTGATCAATGGGCACCGAAAACTCGCCAGGTGAGTGCAAGGGCGGCCCACCCGGGGTGTAGGGCATCCAGCGCCACACCATGCCTGCGGCCCGGGCTTTGAGGCAGGCGGCCGCGTGATCGCCAGTTCTGCCCCGCCTTCGCTGGCAGAAGACTCCAGCGGGTGCCGCTCGCTGCTGGCACGCGAGTCCTCAAAGCCAGAGCCGTATCTTTCCGTTACGCAACTCACTGCGTGGCCAGGCAGTCCTTCATCTTCAGGAGCCGCATCCTGAGGCCGCCAATTCGCCCAAAACAACCTCTACACCAGAGGTTATTACTGCTTGCCACTAGGCGATCGCTTCCAAGCGTCGGTGTCGCAGACAGCTTGGGATCCTGTGCCATCTGGAGGTTGAGTGTGTCGCCTCAGCATTGCTTCAGGACAGCCTTTCTCAAAAAGGTGCGCACTCATAAAAATGACTCTCGGCCAAGCAGCCCATGAAGCAAAGCCCCAAGGCGTTCTTGGACACACTGGCCAACACGCAGGAGCTTGTAGCAAAAGCCACCACATGGCCACCTGGCAATCAGCTTGCGAGAGGGCCGAAGTCAATGGCCACACCAACCCGCGCCGGCTGCAGCGCTTTTTTTCTTTTCCCGAAACGGGGTCTGGGGGGGCGGTTGGGGCGGGGGGGCGGGGGGGGGGCGGCGCTTGAAGCTCGCATCAGTACTGCACGGCGAACTGCTGGCCAGGCTCCACGCCAAGGGGGACAACGGCCTAAAGGGCATGAACATCTGACAGCCGGAACAAGGTCACCGGAGTAGCCGCCTGCACAGTGAAGCCCTCCGGAGTCACCGCCTGCACCTGCATCCCCGGAGTCACCTTGGCGCCCAGAAAAACAAAAAGTGACGGCGGCCTGGCGGGAGAGAGACTCGCGGCGGAGACGACCCTTTTTTGTTTAAACAACATCTCTATATATATATATGTGTGTGTGTGTGATTTTCTTTTTGGATCTGAGGCGCGCCAGCCGGGCACTGGATCAAGAAGGTTCTGGACTCCTGCGCGCGGTTGTCCTCAAGGCTGGTGGCCCATGTCACTCGCGCTGGAAAAATGACGCACAACTGTGTCTGGCCATGCGCGGGAATAATTCCAAAATGGCTTGCCCTGGTAAGTGGAAGCATAGACCAGAACCTGCGGTTTGCCCCTCTGATCGTTTAATTTTGAGCCACACCCATATATATATATATACATATATATATATATATGTCGCTCTGTCTCTCTCTCTCTCTCTCTCTCTCTCTCTCTCTCTCTCTGCAGCCTTTTTTTCGCTGCCGCCAGGACCTGCTGAACCCTGCGAGTTCGCACAAGCATTCCATGGCAAGCAAAGTGTGGCAGCTCGCCGTGCTCGTTGCCCATAATGTATGTGCGGTAATACCTCAGGTAGCTTGGCACTTGGATCCCCCTACCTTGAGGAGTGGGGGGTCTCCCAAATGCCGTTGATCTAGTCTTCCCCGTAAGAAAGTCATCCGCCCATGGACTAAAAGGGGCGGGGGATGTCGGATTTTCTTCTCTTGGCAGGGCCTTGCTACATGGCTGTGGCTCAAAACATGTACCCAAAATGTAAATGGAAACAAAAACCAAAACCTGCGCTTCGCCCTACCTTCTAGGGGACACTTCCCCATTCTTTCCAGGGATCCTTCTTTCGAGAAAACCATCGGAACCCCAGGGGAAACAGATCCGGTTTTTGAAAAGAGCGATGGTTGAAAAGAATGGACAAGGAATCAACCCCCAGATGCTTGGTTGCTGTTGACCCCCCTGCAAAAAGTTTAGCTTTTTGGGGTTCAGTGGAAAACACCTGTATTTCAATCAAACAGCTAGAGTCTCAAGATCCGTTGCCCAGTAGCCGTCAAGTTTAGGTGGACTTCGGCTTTCCTCTTGCTAAACCCTTGAACACCGCGCAAAAAAAAAAGAGCCAGAAACTCCAAGATCTGGCGCAAAAAGGGGGCACCAACTCCAAAATCTGGAACTTCTCCATGAACAAACTGTCTCCAATGAACATGGATTGGCACCAACTCCAGGGGAGACCTTTCTCAAATTTTGCGCCACCCACATCTGCCCCAGTGGCAGCTGCAGCTCCTCGGGGCTCCGCTGCTGCAAGGCGCGGTGCGCCAGATGCGCGCGCATGGACTTGATGCCCTTCCGCTCCACGGAGAAGCCGCCGTCCTCGCCGGGGGCTCTTCTGGCGGACTCGGGTCGACTTCAACCCAGGGATGGTGCAAACACCCCCAAAAACGCAAAAAGGGGAAGATCTGGGTAAAGCTTTAGTATGATTTAGTCTATCTTGGGGCAGTCAAACACCCCCAAAAGGGGAACCCCGGATTTTAAGTCTGTCTTGGGGCAGTCAAAAGGTGGAACCCTGCCCGTGGCCACCTTTCCCTTTGCACATGGGAAGAAACATGAACGCCCTCCACAGCCGTCTCCTCGGTGCCATGACCGCTCGCGAGGATGCGGTATTTGCGAAGCCAGGCTTCATGACCTGCGATGTTTTTTTTTGTTTCGAAACCTGCACGTTGCTCAGAAAGGGGTGCGCACCAAGCACCGGCGTTTCCGTTGGCAATGATTCAAGATCGTTCTCCATCGAATTCAAAAGGTGCTTCCCTTAACTAAGGCTCCTCCCTTGGACGTTTGCTTCGGGCACTCCTGACTCCCTGTGCCATCATTGCCAGTCAACTCTCAGTTCAAAGGGCCATGGCACCACAGTTGGCATAGTGCAGCACCACTGGCGCACCATCCCCACTGCACCGCATGCTGCTGAGCCTGTGGTGAACAACTCGCTGGCACCTTGCCCTATTGCAGGCTCGACACAAGTCGCTGCGTGCATTCCACGCCGGCTGGCCGGCCAGCCGGCAAGCACCAAAGAGTCTCTGCAAGTTGGGCCAAGGTCCGTCCTTTGATTCTCGTCGGAGGCAAAGCGATGCACCCCCACCGGCAGCGGCAGTGGTTGCTTCAGGCGGCATGCAGCCTGCCATGGCGATCACTGGTGACTTAGCTCCTGCTTTTTCTTGCTGTTGCTCAGCAGGGGATGAGGAACAAAAGGGCCCAGTCCGCTGTATTTCCCACCCCGTGCCTTGCCATTGCTATAAGCCGTGAAGTAGCAAGGCAAATCTTCCAGCTGCGGCCGCCGGGCGCTCTCCTCGCGTCGCTAAGCCGCGGATAAGCCAAGCCCCGGCAAGCCTCGCAAGCTTTCCGTCCTCGTCTGAGTCAAAGGGCTCCGCGTCTTCCTCCTCCAGCGGCGGCAGCTCCAGCCTTAATCTTTGCACCGTCGGTCGTCGTGCCAACCTGGCAAAGATGAACGATCGGTAAGGTTGACCCCGGATTAATATACCCCCGTTTACTAATATGGGGGTGTCCCTGGTTGTAGTGGGAATCTTCACTTCTGGAGGGGAACACCCCATATTAACAAACAGGGGTTTATTGAATCCGGGGTCGACATGACCAAAATGGGCCGATCCCCATCCCAGAACCATTCTTCAAGAGTTAAAAGGCGGCGGCACCCTGTTAGGATTACCCTCCCACCAATTCGCATGGAACCTGAAATTCGGGGGCTCCTAGACCATCGTCCTCTTAAAACGGGAGCCCCGAATTTTCAGGTTGCATGTGAATTGGTGGGAGGATATCCCTTACTAAATCTTACTAACCTTCACCGGTTTCATTGCAGCTCACCGGTCTCAAGTGACTCGAAGCCGACCGAAGAAGTCGGAAAAAGCCGCAGGCGGCCTCACGGGCAGCAAGGCCATATCGAAGCTGCGATTGGTCTGGACGTCTTCAGGGTCTGTGCCTTTGGCAATCTGCCGTTGACGCCACCTGAGTCACTTGCTCAAAACCCGGTATTGAAATGGGTTGACCCACAACCAGGAGCCATTTTTGGTTGGGAATGTCCCTCTAACCTTCATCTACCCAGGTTTTGATTGCGGTTCACCAGTCCGACATGCATCAGCCCTGCAAACAAGCCCTGCACGCAAGTGGCTCGAACCTTCCTCGGGTTCCACGGTGCAACTCCCCGCAAGGCAACTGCTGACTGCTGGCCTCTCGAGCTTTTCCAAATAGCGCTTGCCGCTGGGCTTCTCCGCCCCCGACTCCCGCAGCAAGTTCTGGTGCACCTAAAGGCAAGCCACAAGAGCTCCAACATCCTCCAGCACAATCCTAACGGAACCGGGATGAACCAGGTGCTTTGCAGGAAGTCGTGCTTTCCGAGCTACCTTGAAGAGTGACACCTCCTCAAACCAGTCCTTCACCTCCAGCGACTCGGGAACCGCCTCCAGGTTGTTGAAAACCACCTGCTCCACGTCTTGGGGCAGCCTTGGGCTCCGGGCCTCCCAGCCCCAAGATTCTTCACCCCCCCCCCAAAAAAAAACGCTCCGAACAAAGGCGTAGCTTTCACTCTGACCGAAAGTCTGGACGTTTGGGGAAACATACCATGTTGAAGGTTACAAAACATCCGAAACACCAACTTTCACTCCAACACCAAGACTTTCCCGTCCTAGGGAGTAGATTTTGAGGCCGAGCCGCGCGGCGAAAAAGCGCCGGGCATCTGCGTGACGGGGCAGCAGCAATGCTTCATCCACGTCAATATGGAGAAGCCAGTCCTTGGGTTGAAGCTGCCTCAGCTTTTACCTTTCGCAGTTCAACCAAAACTTCCGTCATCATGCCCACCTGGTTTGACTCTTCATTCTGGGGTTGGGTTGGGGGTTTGGCCCCCCCCCGCCCAAGACACAAAACGGCACCATGTTTTTGAGCCACAGCCCCCCTGGGAACACAAACATCCCCACATCGAGCCACTTGGCTGTGGATCAAAACCCTGTACCGCGAATGAACATCAAAATGGGTGGCACATGGATGTTCATCCACCCCAAAATGGAGCCATAGCTCCCCACCAAGGGCCACTAATCCCAAACCCCCTAGTGAACATCCCAATCCAACCACTCAAATAGATAGATGAAAATGGGTGGTGAATTCACCTACCCCAACACGGATCCCATTGGTTTTGACCACCCCGGCCACATCGAGCCGCTTGACACCGCGACGAGACAACGACGCGGTGTCGAACGGCACCCAGGCGCCATGCCGCTGCGCTGCGCTTCTTCCAGCGCCGCCTCCATGGCCAGGCACTGCCGGCTTTGCACGTCCCCCAGCTCCCAGAGCCTCGCGGGAAAAGCAACGCGTGGGGCTGACAGGACGGACAGGACCTAGCGGTTGGGAATGTGATTTGTTTTTTTTCAAGGGGCCTGATTTGGATTGTTTGTTCTCCAAGGATTGGGAGAAAATTGGATTGAGGGTTTGGATGGATTTTTCTCCAGGGGACAAGCCAGTTTTGGGGGGGTCTACTTCTCCCACTTCCGAAGTATGGTTTGGAGCACTTGTTCAGAGAAGTGAGCCGAGAGCAAGCATCATGCAATGCGCGGGTGCCCGTGCAAGAGTTGACCTGCACAACATGATGCAGAATGAGTCACAATCAAAATCCGGTAACCCAGAACCATGCTCCAGAAATTAAGAAGGCGGACATCCGCAGCTATTTATGG